ACTTTTCCGCCAATGAAGTAGAATTAAATCATTCACAGTAACAATCTTCAGAATCGAGGTAAGTGGACATTATTTAGTACCTACTGATGAAAGATTAGATATTCTTTTTTGAATATTAATTTCTAAAAGTTAAAACAAACATATTTCGTGAATAACTGCTAAACAAAGTCCACCTATCTTAACCCCAGAACACACACACACCCCAGAACCCCACACACAAACAGCTTCAACCAAAAACACACGAAACCCCACACATACTTAGTACATAGACACAATTATGTAAATTCCTGTAAAATAGATAACAATAAATACTTTATACATACATCAACAAAAGTAAACAAGTGATATTTATGTTTGAACCTAAATATTATGTACAAAGAGGAGACAATACCACTTATTCGGATACAGGTAAGTTTTTGTTCGATTCTGAACTTCGAAACGCGAAAATGTTTAGACTTTAATTGGTCTTATTCGAATGGCTGTAGAAAGTTCTCGAAGCATTTAATTTTCGTAAATTATTTAGGCCGTTCCAAATACAAAATTTTGCCGTTAATTTGAATGTTGCTTTTTATTTATTTTATTTGTTTGTTCTTTTTTGTTTCTAGGTGTTTGTTTTTTTTTGTGTGTGCGTGGAAATGTATTGTTTTTTCTCTTTGGTGTTTTGCAATTCGTTTTTATACATAATTTTGCACACAACCGAATACAGGAATGTTATTCTTCGTTTTTCTTCGTTTCACCTATAAAAAATGACGTTTCAGTATCAGGTCGTGTACAGTTTTAGAAATGCTTTTCAGTTATTGAATATGCTCGAAATTATTGTTTTTAAAACTAGATTTTTTTAAACTATATTGTATTTTAATTATATATTTACTAACATTTTTAATACACCAACACTTTTCACACAGAAGGATTTAACAGGTAAAATATTTAGTTTATAGTTTGTTTTATTATTTAAAAATAAAAGTATTTTAAGGTCACTCTGCATCCAATATAGTCTATAAACATCTTATTCAGTGTCCAGAAAATAATATAACATACTGCTTGAATGAATACCTAACTAAGTAATACTTAATACGTGTTCAGTAAAATTTTACAAATCGACAATCCACTACTTTAGCTAAAATGTATCTCTTGTATCTCTTGAATCGAAAATTATTATACGTTTACACTTCGCTATTTAAAAATCGCAAACCAATAATTGAAAAAAAAACCAACTTATCCAATAAAATAAACAAGAACCAAGAGTAAAATCTAATCATGAATAATTGAAAATCCAACTGAGAAACTCCTTAGGCTTATATAGACAAAGTTTATAAGTTCCAAGACAGTCGAGGGATCACGTCGACTTTCACGACACTCACGAAACTTAACGGAATAGAGAAATTAACGGAGAAATATAAACTGTAAAGTTTTGGGTAACGGAGGTACAAGATATTTAACTCAGTGGCTTAAGTTGCTAAGTTAAATAAATAATTTATTTTGCTATGAATGAACGATGCTGTTTGGAACTATCTATTGTGAAGTAAAACAATCATTTGTGTAAGTCGAAACTTTGAAGTGTAAGTTTTTCTTCACCTCTAATAATATCTTCTAGTTTATTTCGTTACGGGAACCAAGATAGTTACTCATCAGGGGCGTGCACAGAGATTTGAAGTAGGGTAGGCAGAAGGTATCACATGATTAAAAAAAATTTGGTCTACATTAATCTCGGAAAATAAAACTCCCAAAACATCATAATTTTGAGTAGGTAATTAGGTTTAGTAAGTATTTTATTAATTTGTATAAACAAATTAGGTACATAATTATTTTCAAACTATCCGTGCATAAAGTTGATCAACATAGATACCTAGGTATTCATTTTACAAATCTATTAACTAGGTACCTACTTTGGAGCGGCGAAGTACAAATGGTTACACATCAAGCTATGCGACACCAGTATAAACTGACCGTTAAATGCATAGAAAAATCGTACAAAGCGAGATCAAGATGACTGGATTTTAAAAACATTAATGAAATTGGTACACAACCAGTGCTAACAAAACAAACTATACCTATAATCGCAAATTTATTAAAATTTATTATTTTATTAAAAGTTTATTAAAAGAAATAATAAAATTATTACCTTTTTTGAGTTACGCACACGCAAAATAGCCTTTGGAAATATTTTCGTTTCTTCTTCGAACGACAATAAGGACAACGCACTCATATTGAATTTATTGAACAACACAAATCACCAGCACAGAGCTCACAGCTATAATTTTACATAATTTTCAGTAAATTAACAGTTCATTTAAATTATAATTCATTACATTACAATTTATTCATTTGCACATAAAAACATAACCAAAACAAAATGGCCAAAAAAACCGTAAACAATAAGTTGACCAAAATTAATATATCTATTTTCAATCAACAAACGCTACGTTTTGTTGACTTCTTAAATTAGTCGGATAACGAAGAAGCAGTGCTTTTGCAGTTGTATAGAAATTACCAACCTAACAAAAAAAAAATCCAACATCAGCACGAGAAAACGAGCAAATTGTACCGGCTACGCATTAGTACATGCTTCCGCCACCATCACACAATAGCGAGGTGGCGGCGCCACTGGCGCAATGCTTCAATATATCGAAGAAAGTAGAAAGTGGTTGTAGTACTTCAATATTTTTCCGATAGATGGCGTTAGTGACCAGTTTTTCAAATTAAGTATCAATAAAATTACGAAATCTCTATATGATGTTAGTGAATAAATTCATGTCGTGTTTATGAGTGACACTATGTATTTGACTATGTAGGTTTACCATGATTTTGTAGGGTATGCAGTGCTTATTTGCATGTATGGTGTGCACGCCACTGTTACTCATGTCCCTGGGACGCGCCGGACTTCAGTGTTTCAGTGTTTTCGTGGTTGTATCTACTCTAGGTCCTGACTAACAGGAATTACCAGGGGTTTAGGGATCTCCCTAAGCCCCCGCTACTATCTAATAGCTGGCTTGTCTCAAGAAAAAATCATTTGTATAGTAGCTATTAATCAGTTTTGACTTTAGTGATTTCAATTGATATAAACTTTCTTCTAGATATCTTCTTCTTTTTATCAAATAGTTAAGAAGATAGTAGCACTATCGTATCATTATCAAAATTTGTTATAACACCATTGCTCAGTATATTATAAAAAATCCTATTATATTGAACAAAGTTCCCACTTTTTTCTCTTATCAAATGTAACTTATGTTCATCAGAGATAATGTAGGATTGAAAAAGAATTTTTCAAATTGATCCGGGAGTTTCGAAGTCTATTCAATTCAAACAAGAAATCAAATATTTCCTCTTTATAACATTAGTGTAGATAGACAACAGCTTGTTGTGAAGCACAATATTACTAAGTCACGATTTTAAAGCACGTAATAAAAATATTGAAATGACATAATTATGTATATAGCACATTTAAGTGCCATTATTTTAATTTTGCGCATATAAAAGTTTAAATATAGTGGAATTAGATTATAACACCCTATAACCGAACAATATAATAACACACTTTTAGGAAATAAAAGCCTTGATTTAAAAGGCTTACAAGAGAATTAAAAAAAATGTTACAGCGGTTAGAGAGGAAAAGTTCCGAATTGCAAACGTGATTCCTAAACGTTGTCAACCTTGACCGAATGTCTCGACTTCGGCCAATCAATATAATCTATGGACGAACAGTCTGCCGTCTTCGAGTGGTGACTCACAAATATTACTCGTAGAGGAAACAACTTGGTAAAAATATCATAATAATTCAGTTGTTCTTTTCCTAAGAAAGCAGTTTACATTATTTATCCCAAATGTTATTAACATCAAATATTAGTTTCAAATGACAAATTGTGGTTCAAGCACTATGAGATATCTACTTACCTATCGCCATCAGATATCTAGGTACTAGGCGCCCATAAGAGAAAGAAAGCCCCCGTTAAAAATACAAAAAATATAACTATTTTAAAAATATTATCATAAAATACCAAGAAATTATATCTTTAATTTTTTAAATCAAATTAATAATCTTTTCTTAATAATCAAGGCCTTTTGTGTATCTGTGGTATACTACAGATACATAGACTACAGTCTATGATCATTGTGTAATCTATGGTTATGTTTTATCTGTGTGCGTGGCTGAGCCCGCGACTTTGTAAAAAACATAAGACGCAACAAAACAGTATGTCAATAGCCTTCACTCGTTTTACTTGTATTTCGTTCCCGTATAACATACTTAACAAGTTCTAATCGGTAACTACCAGCAATGTACTGGAACTCCTTGGATGGATGATTGGATGACGCGGGTGTGGCTAATCACCTACAGTCAAGTCTGCCATCAGCTCTTCTGCCGCCAGTTCCCAAGAAGTAACACGTACCTAAAACCAACTTAGTTATATTAAAAATATCATGTTAGCAAATACACATGAACAAGAATAATCATAGAAAACAGCACCGCAATCCAAACGTCCTTTCTCATTTTAATTTTTATTTCCTTTCCTCATTCACAGACAAGCAATTTCTTTCTACGTCATAATATTTCTCCATCAAGAAGGTACCAAGTACCGATGCAGGATAAAGTTGAAAGGAAATTACTCGATTCTGCTCATTTCCGTGAGACTCCGATAATATTTGCCGAAATGGTTGTAGATTATATTAAAATTGGATCACATAATGAACCTTTTTGATGATTTTTATAGGACACAGATAAAATACGTTTGAAATGAAGATAATTAGGTATGTAAAAATTTTGGATTAATAAAACATAGGCTACATTTAAATAATAACCGATGTTCCTAAAATTCTATCAAACAAACAAAAATTAGAGAATTACCTACTTTTGTTTCAAAAACATAAAATTCTTTAAAAAAGAACAAATCACACAATTTAATTAACGAACACATTTCAAATAACAAGAACAAACAACAACGAGACTCCTATTCTGACAGCTATTAGACACAGATTTAAAAATTGCCTCTCTCTTTATTTCACAGGCAGAAGAAGGCACAAACCGCACGTCAGAAGGAGAAGATAACGATGGGAGTGAAATTAACGCTGGTTCCTCTCGAGTCCTCTCTGCAGCCACCTCTAGAGAAGAAGATGATGACTCCAGTAATAATGCAAGCAGCGAAAGCAAGAGTCCTGGCCAGAGGTACGTTTACAGTTGTTTGAATTTCGAACTACATTTTTAAGAATAGATTTTAAGCAAACAGGTTTAGAATGATAATTCAAATAAAAGTAAAAAAAAGGTCTCTGTAAAAAAAAGCAATTCGTAAGTACATTTATTTTGAATGAGTACATTTATTTTTCGAATTGTCATTGTAAACTTTTTTAATTACATATTTTTTGAGATATGTGTAAATTAAAGTTGCAGCCTTATTTTTAAGACTGTGAACACATGATTGAAATAAGAGAGAATTAATTTGAGAGATATAAAAATAAATCAAATAGAACTCCAATTTAGAGAGAAAATTGTATTAAATTAAAAGTCGAATAACGAAATTCCATAAACAAATAATCCATTTTAATTTTTATGTTAACCATTAATTCATCAGGTACAGCATTTTTGTTGCCCTTCAACAGTCAATTTGAGGTTTTCTATTATTTAGATTAGATCATAAACGACGAACTCAGGTAACTATCATTCTCAGTATTCTTGGGTTTCTAGCTATCTGATAATTTGCTACGTGTTAACCTTACCCAGAATTAACCTACAATAAATAAGCGCTGTAGTGTGCTAATTTCATTTGAAATCTTCCATTTTCAAAAGCCCTATAATTGCACACATTCGTGAATAACTTGAATAAAACAAATATAGTTAGAAGATAAATAAAAAAAATTTACACTTACTACATACACATTGTCTATGCAACCATGATTTTGTTAGGAAATACTTAAATATCGATATGTATAAAATGTATTATTATAATTACTCAATATCATTTTTATATTTTCTTATGAGTTTAATTCCGTTTTTTACTTATAATGCTTGAAATGATAATTATAACAATGTTTGAAATGCTATATAAGCAGTAAGAAAATATAAGAATACCCGAAGCACATTCTTGTCTTATAAACACACATTACAAGAAAGGCATGTTAGGTTCACAATTTGCATCGAAACACGATATTATATATTAAGCAACTGTTGTCGAATCTTAATAGGGATGATGACAGGGTATGAAAATTAAAAATCTAATTAGTCCGTCGGTTTGGTATTGAAAAAATAGTAGACACGTATTTTTTTTATTTCGTTGTATAATAAAATGTTACTTAGATAAAACGAATCAAAGTTTAGCAGTAGGGGCTAAAACGTCATTTCTACGTATAAAATGTACATAGAAGTGACGTCACGCGACATTTCAAATCAATATATTGTCGAGAGTATTCGTTTCTGTAAGAAAATAAAAAATACGTGTGTAATGTTTTAAAAGAATCTACCAGACGGACATTAAAATAATAATTAGTCATCTACCCTATTGTAAATATTAAGGCTATAGGCTTAATTACGAGCAAATATTTAAAATAAAGGTTAGAAAATGCTAAAATATGTTAAAAACTTACATGTTAAATACTGACCCAAAATTGAATATGGGTAATTTTGCTTCAAATGCTTCAGGCTGCTTCGTTGGCCGAGAGGTCGCAAGTGCGACTGCCGACCAAGGGGTCTCGGGTTCGATTCCCGGTTCGGGCAAAGTTTTATTGGGTTTTAAATAAAAATGTTTAGTAGTAGCATAGAGTCTGGAATTGTGCCCGGTAAATGGCAATAGGCTCACCACCTATGGGACTCATAACATAAGTAGTGAAAAGTGGGTGTTACATTCTACAGAGGCATTAAGTGCCGTACTGTTCACCTCTGCCTACCCCTTCGGGGATAAAAGGCGTGATTTGATATATAATCAAGAATGTTACTTTCGCATCTAGCTGTTTAGTTTGTGTTTAAAGACGTGTCAAAACCTCTAAAACGCTGTTACGTTTCTAACAAAATTATATAACTTTTCTCAAACTGATACTTCTATGTACAAAGGACGGGAAAATCGTTCTCACAATCTATTAAAATAAGATTGAGAACCATTTTAAATCACATTCAGATTTTATTTCCCGAAGCGGGAGACGGTCATTCAATTCAAATGACTGGCAATTGCAGTATAAAATGTAGTTGCATTCAATTACTCGCAGATACTCTACTAACTGTCGTGGAAACGTTTAATGGATCAATATTGCAATTTAAGTTTTAGATGCGTTGTGTAAAGTGCTCTTTGCAAATCGACATTAAGTTCTTATTGGAGGTTCAAAAATTTGATTATGATAGCTGAATTATTGTGATAGTATTCATCGCTAATAAAATTGTATAAAATGTTATTATGTTACATTTTCAATTTCAAAATTCTTAGTATAAGTACTAAGAATTAGGTAGGCCTAAGGGCCGAAACACAATGGCAGGGTAATATCTTCTTAATAACAAATAAGCAATAAATTTTTCACGATGGTCCATGGCAGAGGCACGTCTATAGATCCACAATGAAAAATCACGACGAACTGGTTACTCTACCGAACTATAACAAAACGCTCTTTTTCACGACGCCGCAACGCAAACTGCCGATTTTAGCGTTGCGCCGACGCAACGCGTATATGTGTTTCGGCCCTAAGAGTGTACTTTTTCATAGTCATACTACAAACATGACCTCACGCCTGTCTAATGTAGACTCACTATGAAACGCCAATTGCTACGATTGTAACTAATTCAGTCCTGTGGAATTATTGGCACAGATAACGAATATGAAAGTATGCAAACTTCTTCCTATGTCGATTAAATATTCACAAGGCTGTCGAGCATAGGGTTTTGGACTCAATGACTGAGTTCAACATTGCATTGCAAGAAGAATTAAGAATCTCGTGATAGTTTTCTGTCTACCATTTGGTATAAAAAATCCACATTTTTACGTAGAAAAAACAAAACCTGTCCACTCAGTTAGAAATTTTATTATACTAGTGATGTGATGACGACAGCACGTCAACATCGATATCTCAATTCTCAATGTCAGTAAGCGGCCCATATACACGGGAACACAACAAATCAATAGTCGACTCGATGCATAACTCGATTATACTCATCGCTGCCTACTAGCTTACCACGTAAGCCGTGTTGGTGATATCGATATACATGGTATAGTGACGTCGTTAATTCCAACGTTGTTGTTCCGAGTTCAAAGTTTTTTATAAATGTGTAAAATTGGTTGCAATGTTGTGCAAGGATTTATAGGGAAGCGACATTGTATTTGAATTTATATCGATGTCGCAATATGACGTAATAAAATTTTAAAAAAGGTGTTTGTTTAAGGTTTTAACATTGCAATGTTTATTTCTTAATCAAAATCTGTTTGATGAAAACATTGAAAATTTCATAAAAACTTGTTAATTTTACATGACTGCGATAAAAATAGTGGTTAGTAAGTTATTGTCACATAAATAAATTGCTCAAAATGAATTTAATTCAACCAATTACCACTTCTCACGTCTATTTTCGGTACCTAACAACCCAAAACCTATTCTAACAATATAATCGCTTTACACACAAACTTAGCACTAAATGAACTTTTATTTACTGTAAATTGAACCGCTAGGCGGATGATAGAGGCATATTACCGACCCTTTTACTAATTCAACACTAACAAACTTTCTTAGGGTCCAAAAGTAATTAATTGCTTCGGTTAATCCAATTAACCGGTTCAATTAAAGTCATTTGAACCGAAAATTCAATTTAAATAACCTTTTTTTATTGGTCGTCTTTTTGACAGCGAATTTGGCGGGAAACCACTTAGGTAGACATTTTGTTGGGGTAAATAGTTTTTTTCTTTAATTTGTGCGTGATTTAGTGGACAGGTTTAATTAGGACGTATCTTTTTCGTTAGCTACTTAACGATTAAAATGTAATTAAAAAAAATACAATTATCTTTGTTGTCATTTTAATAGTCAACAAATATTAAACGCCTCGTTTCGTAAATGATTATAGAACTAATCTGATTTCAGACAGATTTTTATCATATTGGTAAACAGTTTACTAATGTATAAATTCCACGTATAACATAATTTACAAATACATTTTATTTAACCCGCCATCATTGTATAAACCCAACATAATCGTACACTCCAAAATATATTATCAAGCATCCCACGTTCCATAATTATCACGATATTGCCCCAAAAATGACCAAGATTAAGCGAGTTACATCATTTTTATGTCAGTTACCCCCATAGAATGCCATAAAGAATGATCCATGACCAAATTATGTAAAAATATGGATGCGTCCATCACCATTATAATATTTTGGGCGCCCTTTATATGGTGACCCAAACAATATTTAAAAGACCTATATAAATAAGGACAGGAGATGTTACGTGAGATAAAAATTGACGGTCTGGTTTAGATTATAAAGTATTTTTTAAATAATCAATATGTATGGTTTTATCGTTTCATGTTTTAAATAATATACACCTAATTATGTTATACTAGTTTCACTGCTACAAAAATAAAATAAAATTGTACTTACGCATTCTAAGACAAAAAACCGATCTAAAATAAAATACCATCGTTTTACTCTTGATTTCTAGACTTTATTTTTTTAAATTTAGTTAAAGCTATAATGTCATAAGTAGTATATAATGTCGCATTCCAAATTTAAACCCACTTACAAAGGATAATCTACATAGGTATACTCCATGTTTTCATACAGCCATTTCATCTCTGATTTCAGTAAGAACATTCATGAAAAAGTCAACAGTTACCCATTAATGACTATGCCGTAGTCAACATTCCTTCAACTAAGAATTAATCAATCACCGTTAAACTAATCGCCACCAAAATCATTTACAATTAAATTAAGATTAAACCACCCAATTCCGTGTCATAGGAACTGTAATTAAATGTAATAGAATTTGATTATAAGCAATTTTCCCAACCTGTTCAGGCTGTTGAGCAAGTTATCTCCATTCACTCCAAATGCGAGGCCCGACGATATGTAAGTGGCCCGACATAATGGCACATTACGCTTTGGATACGCTTAGCTGCGACCCTAGCAAGCACGATCCAATAATAATGCTGATTACGTATGCCCGATAGATGAACTGTGATGTCTATCAAATGACGTATGCAATGGCTATTAAAGAAATTGCAATACAGAAAAAGTTAAAATGATGAAATAAATGTATACATCCTGGATATTGTTATTATTTTCAAAGACTGCTGGAACCAATATTAGTTAGTTAGTATTAATAGCACTACGTCATCGCACGATGAACATAGTCTTACGAGGAAACTTAAATGTAGAGGCAAGGTAACCCAAAATATCAAAGCGCACTTAGCTCACACTAATTACCAAACGAAAGCCATTTCGCACGTCACTTGAAAGCCACAATAAATCGTCGACTATACGAACGACTGATACGTAATTGGTGCCCTACGCCTACACGATAATATTTGTGCAATGCAATAGTATAACTGTTGAAGTTAGTTCACGACCTTGCACAGCTGGGCGTGTAGACGACACGTAATGCTAAAATATTGTATAAACACTGATTACATTGTTCTGTCCGTTAACGAGATTGCAGGCATTATGCATGTGATAACTTTGTGAAGTCTCGTTGACAATGTATCGTGTGCTGCGACCTGTGTTGTCCGCTTTGGTGGTGACGAACTACCTCTTACCTCGTTCCTTTGATTCTTATTTTAATCTTTGCTGTTGCTTCTTTAGATTAGATTTTTTAGTCTCGAATAATTAAGTAGTCTCATAGATTAGCTTTAGTTTTATCTAGCACGGTATATTCATCACGGAGGGTTCGGAGCTCACCAAAGCGCGCAACACAGTGACACGCAGGCTTCCACCGACATCGCACACACTACACCACTGTCTCCGTATAACACGATACATCCCTTTATAGGCGACCGATCATTGCATCGAGTTCGTCAAGCTCTCGCAAGTCCATGCAGGACACTGAGAGGGCGGAGTCAGACACAGACAAACGCGGCCATAAATGGAGACACGTCCAAGCTGTCATGGCATACTACCAGGCACTCAGGAAAATAAAGAGGTTCGAATACTATCGGACCACCGGTAAAGCCGCATCGTTGTCGATTGTTATTATATTTCATTGTTTGTTTATGATTTCCCACTAATGTGCTACCTTCGTCAATGTATAGGAACTTCGGGAATGGTACTTTAATCACTGAATTATGTGTGTTTTTCTTGTGGATATTGTGTCTTACTAGTTCACCAAATGATTCTACTTTCCTGCTGTCACTTGAGACAATGAAACGTGTTTAATATTATTTCATTGTTTAATTGCATTTTTTAATGTTTCAATAGAAGAATAGTTTCGAACTCCTTAACTTTAGATGCCTAGTTACTAGTATTAGTAAAGATAGATTCGATCACTGATATCTCACTCTACAAACTATCGTATATTCGAGTTGGTCTTTTTGTTTCTCTAGTGTGAGTTGCCATGCCGCATGTCAAAATAGAGTTCTTTGTTTGCACGTGTTTGAGATCTTTCTGTTCACGAAATTCTAGTGCATCGCCGCACATAACTATAACAATATTAGTATATTCCAATGTCAGTAAGTTTCCAAAAGAATTATGAACAGAATCTTCCAGAAGTCTGTGCTTAACAAACTAAGTAAAGTAATCTATTACTTCTTGTCTGTCTAATATACTTGAACTATCTGAAAGCATGGCTACTTTTGCTTACTAAACTCCCTTTTTTAATGTTTTGGCTGATATTCTTGGCACTGACGTTTATTTATGACCGCAGAACAAAATCGAACCAAAGATGGATGAAGTTGCGAACGACAGTGCAGCTCAGTTCAGCTATACAGAAGAAACCGCCGTTGAAGAGAGAAGACTCTTTTTTAAAGAGATTTTCCACTAGACAGACACCGCTAACACAAGAAACTGTGAGTATTTCTATTATTATCAGACTTTTATTATATCAGTCCTCATATTAATTAGTCATCACAATCAAAACTCAATCAGCTAAATATGTATCATTGATTTATCTAGTGACCTGTTGATTAATACTCTTGATCGTTTTCGTACAAAAAAAAAACAAAACATATTGAATAAACCTGATGTAGAACTAAGAAGTTTACATTCCAACTATCAGTCAATAATATTATTTCAAATATGGAAGACAAAATGAGTAATTAAAAAGAACCAACCTCTGTTGATCACCACTAACTAAAATAAAAGTAAAAAAAAAACCATAAACAAAAACATGAAACCAACTCCTGGCATGTAACAAAATCTACCGATCATGCATTTAGACGATATAATATTGAATTTAGAAGCCTCACTTCAGATTAAGGTTACATACGATAGAGGGCGGCTCAAGTTACTACTGAGCTATTTTGTACGGAGCACGCGTGACCCCAAACTTTTTGAACCACGGAAACCGATGTGACAGTTCCAATTACGATGCTTTTATGGTAATATAAATTGAAATTAGCAAGTTTGATGTAAGTTATAACGCAAAACTCGAACATTTTTTGATTTAATGAAATTGTTACTTCCAATTTGAAAATAAATGCAAATGTAGGTATTATTTCAGACAGTTCATTTAAAGTTGACTGCCTCGTTGGTGTTCGCAAGGGCGACTACCGGGCAAGGGGTGTCGGGTTCAATTCCCGGGTCGGGTGAATTATTATTGGGGTTTTTAAAAATTGTCAGTAATAGTACGGAGCCTGGAATTGTGCCCGGTATATGGCAATAGGCTAACCCCCTATTACATGGGACTCATAACATAAATAGTTAAAAGTGGGTGTTTCATTGTACAATGGCATAATGTGCACCTCTGCCTACCCGTTCGGGGATAAAAGGCGTTATGTCATATTATGTTATGGTTACATAATTACTACATTATCAAATCCTAACATCTCAACAACCACTAAGAACAGAAAAACACAAATGCAACCTTAATTCTAAAGCAAGAAGAGGAAAAATTAAAGAAAACTCACTTCACAAACAAATTCAGTAACAGGATTTGATGTATCGTGTAACCGATACTAACCTCACCCTGTATAATGTTACGGGACCAACAAATGGGATTAACTTGAACATATTTATTACATTTAAATTGATTGATGGGTTATGTTAAGGGTATTACATATCCGGGGTATAATTTATTCGGAAAATATTCGCCGCATACACTTTCACGCACCATACTTCGGTGTGTTTCGCCATTAAAATACTTTACCTTCATCCCTTCTATAGCTATAATATATTCCATTAACTTCTGGAATGCCAGTATATGAAACACAATAGAAAACACATTGTATCTCGCGTAGATCTATGTTCTGGCATACCACGGGTTAAACTGTCAAACACTAAGCGGTCACCGGTGACCGCAACCTATTGTTCTATAATTGTGTCTATAATGACGGTACTCGACGAGTTAAAGGATAACTAGAATTGTCAATTACACTTCACGTGATTTTAAAAGACCATAGATGATATCGCTGGTTCGTATCTAAACAGATGTATAAAATAAGCAGCTAGCTTCATTTAATTGACTGACTCAATGAGATAACATTGTCACGTTGCAAAACTTCACATTTGTTATATTGTAACTTTCGTGAGACATACTAAATAAATTATTATGTTTTCGGCTTATTCACGTTGTAATTAAACGAGGAACTCGACTAGTTTCAAGCCATGCTAGAGGCTCATATTCATGAGCAGCATTTCGCGACCCGCGACGCGCTGGGCCCGCAGACTCGAGTAGCCAGTAGCAGCGCGACAGTCGCCGCGTCGCAGGTGAATATGAGCCTCTAGCATGGCTTGAAACTAGTCGAGTTCCTCGTCGAATTACTACGAGTAAGCCGAAAACATAATAAATCCCATTTGTTAATAAAATAAAATGAAATTCTTTTACTTTGACGTCACCAAGACCCATTGTAATAGAATCGACCAAATCTATTGGCTAACTTCGGGAAGTAATCTAGACAACGTGTTTTACTGAGAATTTCGAACTTCACCCACTAGGCAGGTATCAGTTTTCCTAAGAAAATTCATTTTGTTGTGTCCTGAGGCGGTATTGAATTCCAACACTACGTGGAGACACTGAGAATAACGAATAACGAATTCCTTAGAATTTTTTTTGTTTGTTTGACCTTTGTCTAAGTCACATAGATTATGATTATAAACAGACTGGTTTTATTGAATACTAGCTGTTGCCCGCGACTGCGTCCGCGTAGAATATGATTCCTGTTTTATCCCATGGGAGAATTTAAAGTAGAAGAAGTAAAAAAACTTTCACATCACAACATAGTATAAAACAAAGTTGCTGTCCGCCGTCTGTCTGTCCCTATGTATGCTTAGATCTGCAAAACTAGGCAACGGATTTTGAAGCGGGTTTGTTTAATAGATAGAGTGATTCTTAAGGAAGGTATTCATAATACATGCAAATTGCACGCGTGCGAAGCCGGGGCGGGTCGCTATTTATAATATTAGTTTAGAATGATAGTCAATCGTTAGGCGATTTCAGTGGTCCTAGTAGTGTCCAAAATAAGTCAAAGTTTAAAGTAGAGTAGTAGAGTCTAAATTCCCGTAAACCATGTTGGAAAATTTTACAAGAAGATTTACTGGCAGATCAATCTTACCCAGATTTTTATGTTTATATTAACTTAGTTGTTTTGTAACTAAATCTATTCATTGATTAATAGTTAATTCAATACCTTAGTAGTATAACAGTACGTACGCGATGTCAACCGACTTTTGCTTTTGTTCTATTACTCAGTAATATAAAAGTGGACCTACTTCTTCGTAGAACTAGGGATAACACAAACAAATTATTATGTTTTCGGCTTACTCACGTAATAATTTGACGAGGAACTCGACTAGTTTCAAGCCATGCTAGAGGCTCATATTCATCAGCAGCATTTCGCGACACGCGACGCGGCTACTGTCGCGCTGCTACTGGCTACTCGAGTCTGCGGGCCCAGAGCGCCCTCTGCCGTAATTCACGCGTACTTTCTTCCATTCGTGTAATGGAAGTTATTACGTGAAAAAGCCGAAAACAATAATTTATTTAGTATGTCTCACGAGTTACAATACAAATAACACAAACACTTAAATAATATTAAAAAAACAAAACACTAATAACAATTTTATCCCATAGGTAGAAGACACAGGATCAGAAGGCGCCACAGGAGACCACAGATCTACGAACAGACAAAGAAGACGAAAGATCAGAGCACCGCGCACCGTTGTCAACCCTGACGAGAACTTCTTCTTCTACTGGCTCTGGTTAATCACCATCTTTGTGCTGTACAACCTTTGGACCCTCATCGTGAGACAGAGCTTCCCTGAATTACAGGTAATTTTATACTTACTATAAGTTGTTTTTTATTAGAAATCGTTCGGTGTTTAAACGCCATTTCGGAGGTAAGCTATGATACTGCTCACAACGAAGCACTCATGTCCATAATGGTTGACTGATGATAGGTGTAACTTTGTTGAGACAAACAGTATAGGAAAAACAATTGAAATTCCAGATTCAAACAATACTTTTTCATTCGAAACCTAAACTTATGGCTCGTTCTCGCTACTCTTAGGGTGCGTCCATATCTGGTGAAGGCTCCACGAATGCGCAGCTCACGAGTTGCTTGATTATTTCTATGAACTGCCTCGTTGGCCGAGTGGTTGCAAGTGTGACTGCCGGGCAAGGGTCTCGGGTTCGATTCCCGGGTCGGGCAAAGTATTACTGCATTGGTTTTAAAAAATTGTCAGTAGTAGCACGGAGTCTGGAATTGATTGTGGCCGGTATAGGCTTACCCCCTATTACATGGGACTCATAACATAAATAGTGAAAAGAGGGTGTTACATTGTTTAGAGGCATAATGTACACCTCTGCTTACCCCTTCGGGGATAAAAAGCGTAATGTTATGTATGTTATGTGTGGTTATACGAACCTTGCATGAATAGAGCACCAAACCATTGCCATGACTGCACGCACGCAGCTCTCAGGCAGCTCGCAAACGGCTCGCAAGTGGCACATTCGCGGCACATTAGCCTGGTGTGGACGCACCCTTACAAGTGTAAAGTTCTTAGGTACCTAAGAACACGAACAACACAAAAATGTAAATAAATCATAACAAAAGCACGTCAGCACTAATAAATAAATTAGAAAATTATTTACAAACATGACCTTTACGACGAACCTAATCAATGGTACCGATATCCAATAAATAAATAATTAAATACTTCGAATTCTTAACAATAGTGATGTATCGTGTCATGAAAATATATCCAATATAACCTCAACCTTTTCATACATTATTCAGAACACACTTCAATTACAGAGGAAACTGAACCGAAAGCCGACGGATTAAGTCGTAGAATTGCTTGCGGATGTAGTCGGAATCGTTGTGTTAAAAATGTTGTTTCCGTGTCAAAGTAAAGGGTAGTTTTGTATAGGATTATTTATTATTTGAAAGGTTATTTTTAATGACCGATGATGAATTCTAAAGATTTTTTTGAAAATGCATAAAAATTGACCCCAGTTTTTAACAAGTTCAACATTTTTATTAGATTCCTATTCAAAGTTGCAATAATTATAAATTATATCAATTCGGCGTAATTCAACGCATTTCAAAATCTGTAAGTAAGTAGATACTCTTTTTTTCGTACATACCATTTTACGATCCTCCACGAAACAGTTATTTGTGTGTAATCTACAAATTCCGAAACAGAGTAATGACAGTACAAAAGAATTTATACGTTTGTAAACGCACCCACAATTCGAAATAATATTTTAGTGTAGCCACACTGTAACAGTTGCTAGGCGACGTTTTAAAAACAAACTATTACCTACGTAAATTATGTCTCATAATCCTAGTTAGATAGACTGACCACTGTCATCGAAATCCCGCAACAAAATTACTGGAACCTTTGGTTTACTGTCTCGGAAAGCTGTTATTGCGCGCCATTTGCTCTTCGATCGAAAGTGATTTTACTTTTAAATTGAGAACAAAAATGCACTCGACGAAGGAATCTATTGTGTTCAGTCTAGTTTTTTCAAAGCGTCACTGTTCTGTTTTCACATTTTGTATTTTAGATTCCAAATTCAAACTGGCACGAAGCATTATTCTATTTCTGAATTTGGAATGACATTATGTTTTTTTAGGTCGATGAATGGGTAAATGTTTTTAAATATTTTTAGGAAATTCGTTTATCAGTATGACAAACTGAATTGGGAAAAGGTTATTTGTTTTTATTCTCGGTAGGTATGTAACTGGAAATTTCGTCCTACACATTGCCGCTTGTTTCATTAAATTACACAAAAAAAGCTTTAAAAAATCACACCTCTAACCTCTGGTCGTTTGGGCAGTACTTTTTTTATTATATCTGTGGGCAGTCCGCGTTTTTGCTGAATGAATACAAGATTTTTATTAAGTTGAACCTGTCGCCTTTCTTGTAAAAGAACCTACTGTTTTAATGAAATCTGAGAAATGAATTTGACTGGGTATTTGATTTATTGTTCGTAATATTAGGAAAGTCATAAAAACTTGTATTACGTCCAACTGGAATTAAATCTAAACGTATAAAACGAAAAATAAAAAAGTTTATTAGTCTAATAGGTAAATAAAAATATTGACAGGAAATTTAATTCATAGTTAATTATGGCAAGCATATTTTTGAGTTCGAACTAATTTTTATGAAGTCAGGTAAACAAGTAATCTCTTTTACAATACACTGAAAGTGCAATACACTGAAA